CATTATCTGTAGGCAGAGATGAGACCTGCCATGAGAAGGCCTTCCGGGGCTGGACATGCTATATTTCTTGATCCGGGGTGCTTATGTTCACTTTTGATAACTTATCTCTAATCTGAGCGCTTAAAGTCCACATAACACTTCAGTTGTAAAGTAAAAAGTAAAAAAAAGATTAAAGGTGAAAGGTATCCTAACCAGGAGAATAGAGGCAAAAGTCTGGAAAGAAGATAGAAACTCAGGAAAGGTGAAAAGCAGGTATGGGCTGCAAAATATCCTGCACATTTCAGACTCTTCCCCGGAGGCGTCTGCCTCTCCTTCTTCACTCTGAGAATTCTTGCCCTATACAAACATTTGTTTGGACTCACTCTCCCCCCCCCCCCCCCCTCCTTTCTGGAATAACCACTTAAAGGGCTAAAACATGTCCAGGGGCTTTTAGAAGAGCACCATGTCCTTAGGGGAGGTAGTCTGGTCACGTGGAGGCAGTGAAATGTAATTGGATAACGTCAAGTGCTCCTAAACGTTTACACTTCCATTGCTTTTATACATCTATTATCTAAAACTTGGTTGTGATTTTATTTATTTAAAATATATTTCTATTGATTTCAGAGAAGAAGGGAGAGATAGAAATATCAATGATGAGAATCATTGATGAGCTGCCTCCTGCACACCTTTCACTGGGGATCCAGCCCACAACCAGAGCATGAGCCCTGACTGGGAATCAAACTGTGACCCCCTGGTTCACAGGTTAACCTTCAACCTGAGCCATGCTGGCTGGGCTAAAGGTTAGTTGTGACTTTAACTATATTAGTCTACATCGGATCCCTTTTGTATTAACATGTTTACCTGTTTTACTATATTTAAGAGTTTTCTGTGACCTTCTATTCCTCAGTACCACTCTACCTGTATGACTTTGGGCAAGTCACTTAACTTCTCCTGGTCTATTTATTCATTTGCAAAATGAAGATTATAATGTCCTTCAAAGTACCATCATAAGATTGAATAATACATATAAAGTGCACAACACCATGTGTCTGTAATGCAGCAAGGGCTTGATAAGTATTAAAATTAATATTTCCCCTGTAAACTAAAAGTTGGCTGTTGTTTGGTATGGCTGAGCTGTGGGAGGCAGAATCATGGTGGTGGAGAGGATGGATTTGTATATCCTTGCCAAGGTGATGGATTTTATCCTGCAGGCCGCAGTTTCTCTAGCTACCCCTCATGGGAGCATGGTCTTTCTGTAGAGGTCAGGGAGAGCCCAAGATGTTCCCCCAAAACACAAAATTATTTCTTTTCCTGTTTAATTTTAAGCATACATAGGAATTTTATCTTTTATTTCACAACATGTTCAGTGGTTGGATAAAATGAATGGCATTTGGAGCAGTCTCCATCCTGTTAGAAATGCTCCCAACAATGTCACAGGAATGAGACAAACACTTGCACCTGGACGGGCAGGGCAAACTTACTTCTGTGCAGAAGGTGCTCCTGCCAGCTGGAAATCAGGGCAAAAGCACACGGAAGGGGAAGTCCATTCATTCGTTTTTTTTTTTTATTTATTTCCTGACGCGGGGTCTGCCCTGCCCCTCACTCTGAACTCTGACCTGATTACCAGGGTCCAGAGCTCAGATTTCCATTACTGCGCGATTGGCTGATTCAGAGGAAGGGGAAGGTAAGGCAGAGCCTAGGATGGCAGCCGCCCTGAGAGTCTGATGGTCATTCCGAGATCACAGAACATAAGATGGTGGCCCCTGAAGGATCTGAAGGTCATACCAAAGTGGCGGGACCTGAGATGGTGGCGAGCTCCTGTCTTTGACAGAAAAAATCAGTGGTTCACTCTCACCATCCACTTTAGAGAAAACCACTTTCAATTGTTCAACCAACTTTCTAAGATGTCTGAAATTTGAAGATCATGATATTTTAAAGACAAGGATGACATCCTACCTAATAAAAGAATGGTATGCAAATTAACCATAACTCAGCCACACCCACCAGCCAATCAGAGCCAGTATGCAAATAAACCCAAACCAAGATGGCTATAGCCACAGAGAGCAGGAGGGAGGCTTGGGTTTCCCATACAATGGAAGAAGCCAAGCTTTCCACCTGCCCTTGCCGGCCTAAGCCTCCACTCCAGGCTACAAAGTTTCAATTATAGACTATATATGAACCCCAATAGAAATGGCTACTGGCCAGGGAGCAAGCAGGAGGCGTGGCTCTGCTCTAGGCTACAAAGTTTCAATTGTAGAAGGTAAATAAATTCCAGATACCAGGGCTTCCACTTGAGTTGTCAGGGGGCGTGGCCATTCTGCAAACCACCACAGGCCCCTCACCCAGGCCACCCCATGCCCCAAGGGAACCCCACCCTGATCTGGACACCCTTCAGTGCAAACCAGCTAGCCCCCACTTGTGCACCATGCCTCTATCCTATCTCATAAAAAAGTAATATGCAGATTGACCTTGCTCCAACACACAATATAGCTACCCCCATGTGGTCAAAGATCCTGCCCCTATGTGGACACAAGATGGCCACCACAAGATGGAAGGCAGGGGAGGGCAGTTGGGAGGGACCAGGCCTGCAAGGGAGGGCAGTTGGAGGCAATCAACCCTGCAGGGGAGGGTAGTTAGGGTGACCAGGCTGGTAGAGGAGGGAAATTGGGGGCAAACAGGCTGGCAGGGGAGCAATTAGACATCAATCAGGCTGGCATGGGAGTGGTTAGGAGGTGATCAGGCTGGCAGGCAGAAGCGGTTAGGGGGCATCAGGAAGGCAGGCAGGTAAGCAGTTGGGAGCCAGCAGTCCTGGATTGTGAGAGGGATGTCCAATTGCCACTGGGATTGGGTCGAAACAGGCAGTTGGACATCCTTCGAGGGGTCCCAGATTGGAGAGTACACAGGCTGAGCCTCCCCCCCCCCCCCCTGGTGCATAAATTTTGTGCACTGGGTCTATATATATACACTAGATGCCTGTTGCAGGAAGATTCCTGCAATAGGGCTTTCTGCAGCAGTCTCCACCACCCTGCCTGCTTCCATCCCTTCTCCCCTGCCCCGCTTGCTTGCTTCTCTGCACCTTTACTCCCTTCAGCAGCGCTTGGCTTCCTTTTACGCTGTCTTCAGTCTTTGCTCTGAGTCTGGATATGCAAATTAGCCACCATGTTGGTTGGGTTAGTTTGCATACTTACTCCTGATTGTCTGTTTGGCGTGGCTTGTGGGCATAGCAGAGGTACGGTCAATTTGCATGATCCTCTTTTATTAGATAAGATATTCAATGGTTAACCTTGTAAATTTTGTAATATTTTTTTCATAGTGGCTTAAAACAATCCTGGGCTTTGGAAACATTCTTACACAAAAAAGCAAGTGGGAGTCTGTGTTTGTTTCTCAATAAATTTCCACCTTTACCACACACACACACACACACACACACACACACACACACAAGCAGTGAGGATGGAATAGGTTTATACTGATGATTCTGAAACTCCAGTCAAACTTAACTGGCCAGGAGGCTTTGCCCTGCAGCATTCACAGGTGCATGTGGTACTTTACGAATGGAGGGGCAGGAAACACTCGTCTCTTCGTCTTCACGCTATGACAGGTCTCGCATGCACTGTAATCACTGTTCAGAGACAAACATCCCCATAGCCGTTTGCCTGCTGCCGGTTTCCTCTGGAAGGGGAGTGGGGGAGTGGGCAAAGATGATGGAGGAGGGTGCGGTCAGATATGCCGTCCCAGGCCAGTCAAGGGGACAGAGGTGTTTGCTTGTCTAGGACTGGCCTTGCTTTCATGAGGTCTCTAAAAACTTCCTACTTAAAAAACAGCAACACTCTCTTACCAAGAAGTAGCTCAATATATTTTGGGAGAAAAAAAAAATCACAATTTCCCCCCCCATGGTGTCAGATTTTGGTAAAGTGACCAAAAGTATTAACAAACAAACAAACAAAAACCAAACCATAAACCAATATGCAGAAATTGGCAAGTGAAACACAGACAATAGGAATTTGAAAGTCTAATAGAACAAGTTTTTGAAAAGCCGAGGACAGGAGACATGAGAGCTCTTTGGTAACTTATAGAGTATAATCTTCAGGAATATTGGGTAATACTCAGGCTAAACTTTATAGTTTTTTTTTCAAAGTCACATGAGGGCCTTAGACCAGAATGCTGCTTTAAAATGATATCTTTGGTAATATTTCATTGAGGATGGATTTTTAAGCCTTCAAATCTTAAACACATGATTAGAGGAAATAGTCATAAGGCTTCATAAATCCTACTTATACTTTGTCTAGTCTATTTTATAGCTTATAGCAATTATAATAGATAATAGTTGGAACTAAATTATAATCAAAAACATAATCCTATTAATATCTTATCTAATAAAAGAATAATAGGCAAATTGACTGCCACTCCCACACACAAGATGACTGCCCCCGCATGGACACAGATAGCCGCCAAAAGATGGCCAGCTGGGGAGGAGATTTGGGAGGGACCAGGCCAGCAGAGGAGGGAAGCTGGGGGTGACTGGGCCTGCAGGGAAGGACAGTTGGGGGCAACTAGGCCTGCAGGGGAGAGCAGTTGGGAGGGACCAGGCCTGCAGGGGAGGGCAGTTAGGGGCAAACAGACTGGCAGGGGAGCAGTTAGGCATTAATCAGACAGGCAAGGGAGTGGTTAGGGGTGATCAGGCTGGCAGGCAGAAGTGGTTAGGACAATCAGGAAGGCAGGCAGGCAAGCAGTTGGGAGCCAGCAGTCCTGGATTGTGAGAAGGATGTCCGACTACCTAAATGGGCAGTCGGACATTACCTTAAGGGGTCCCAGATTGGAGAGGGTGCAGGCTGTGCTGAGGGACCCCCCCCCCCCCCATGTACAAATTTCGTGCAACGGGCCTTTAGTATTAAATAAAACTGAAAGTTTAACATAAACAAGAGCTTGCAAGGCTGTTGCCCCACATTAGAATTTATTTTAGCATCTGATATGGACAAAAAAAAAGGACACATCAAAACAAATATAGCTAAGTATATAAGTAGATAAACAAAATGCAACATCTCTTTATTTACTAGAATAATTTAAAACTTTATTTTATTACTATTTTCAAAAATAGTTGTCTTTTCCTAGGTAACTGGAAAATTTTAAAGAACACTTTTAAAAACCTCACAAATATCTTATTTAGCAGATAAAGTGTTATTTTTCATTTGTGAGCTTTCATTTGGCACAAACTACATAAAGGTACTCATCATACATACATTTTTATTTCCTTTATTTTTGTCATAACTTTAGTAAAAAAAATTTAAAAATCAAGTGAATAAAGGTTTATGATGAAAATTATTATTAGATGATTCTGGTGATCATGTTCTGGGTAGAAAACTGTTTTGCTAGTGAACATTAGATACAGCATATGGTGCATAGGTGACATCTGAAACTTGCTACTCTTTTCCTGTATTTCTGCCCAAACTCCAAGGGGATAAAGACAAGAAAAGAGGCGAAGGGAAGAAAAGAGCTTTCAGTGGCCCCTGAGGGACCAGACTCAGCAGCTTCTAAGTGGGCTCTCAAAGGGCTCGCTGCATCCACATATGCTGCCAGGCCTCGAAGAACACAACAGGGACTTCCGCCAGGGGCTGGCAAAGTTCTCCTCTAAAGGGAGACGCTTTATATTGTAACTACTTAACTCTGCTCCTGCGGCATGCAAGCGGTCAGACTACACATAACTGAATGTGTGTTTGTGTTTACCATTTTATTTACAGACACTGACATTTTTTTTAGGGTGACCTTATCATTTATTATCATAAACTGGCCATTTTGAGAATAAAAGGAGATGCTATTAATAATTATGCCAGGACAACGGGCATAACTGAGTGGTCACAGACAAACTGGGATTTCAGCATTGAAATGTAAAGTTCATAGAATTTTCACATCACAAAATATAATTATTCTGATTTTTAAGAACCATTTTAAAATGTAAAATTCATTCTCGGTTCTTTGGGCCACACAGAACAGGCTGCAGGCTGGCGCAGCCCGTGAGGTGAGGTGAGGTGTGCTGACCCCATCTACGTTCTTGGAGACACGAGGCTTCACTCTCGGACTGCACCGTGTCTTCACCAGCCTTACTCCCTCCGGGGCTGCTTTCTGTCCTCTCTGCCGCTGCTGCTGGGCTGGGGGGACATTAAAAATGACTGATATAACATACAAAGATGAAAGTTTTTTAATGTCTGTTTATCCTATCTGGAAGATTTTTTTCAGGCTTATTTCTTAAACATCTAAGAGGACAGACATTACAGTCTGAGATTATGAAACTAGATAGGTTACCATCTATTTTCCATTGCTTTAAAAAAAAAAAATTTTATTGATTTTTTACAGAGAGGAAGGGAGAGAAACATCGATGAGAGAGAGTCATTGATCAGCTGCCTCTTGCACATCCCCCACCGGGGATGAGCCCGCAATCAAGGTACATGCCCTTGACTGGAATCCACAGGCCGACGCTCTATCCACTTAGCCAAACCGGTCTCGGCTATTTTCCATTGCTTTTTAAGAAGATATTGGGAGGGCCAATGGTAAGATATGTACACATATAATACCTTAATAAAAAAATGAAAAAAATAAATTACATAGACAAAAAAAGAAGAAGATATGTCTTAAGTCCTACTACTATGACTTACTCAATAAAAACACAGGCATTTAATTTAAGGAACTGCACATTTTCATTTTTAATAAACCACATGGCAAAACAATACTTTATTCAATAAAGGTATAGGAAATTACAATTAGAAAATTGTAAATACAGTACATATACTATACTTTGATTTTAAATTATATGAAGAAACACCAGCTTCCAAATCTTTCTAGAATCAATCATATGCCAAATATTGGTTTCTGAAGGGCTATAAAGTACATACAACTTGTTAAACTGCGATATGGCTTACTCAGCAACATCTACTTAGAAAAGCACAAACTTTCCGGGTGTACAGTACCTCCCATGTGCAAAGCGGACACAATGGCACATCCCAGTTTTCTGTTGTGGTTATTTCAGAAAATATGTAATTGCAGTAAATTGACACTGCCAGAAAAAGTCCCCATGAAGCTTCTCCCACCTTACTGAAGCTGTTGGTCCTCACAGTGTAACTGGAAGAAGAGGTAAACCCCTTTACAGCCAGAACTCAGTGACAGGCTGCCCGGATGCTCGCGCGCGCACACACACAATTGAATCCTGAGGAGCTCCCACAAGTTACCCCCTCCGACTTCTGTGCTCCCAGCACCTCCTCCAATGATGTCCCTGCCTGGCAACCTCTGACACAAGTCTGAAGCCCTGCCTGGAGATTCACATAACGGATCTGCCTGCGGTTGGGCATTTGGGTTAGAAACATATGAAATTTAATCAGTTACTTGGAGATCAGACTTGCCTCCCCTCAACACAGCATAGTGAAAAGTCACTTCCTTTGTGACTAATACCCAAATGGCTCAGGAACCAAATGAACTGATCTTATACTTAGGAAGATATTCTGTAACTTTTAAGTTTACTGTATGAAAAGTAGTCAACAGAAAAATTGCCTAAAACCTTGTATTACAGAGGCTCAGTTTCTGTAAGAACACCTTATTCCTTAAGACGAAACAATGAACATAATTGCATAAGAAGAAAATTAATTTAGTGGATTGTCGTGTTTGAGAAGGGAATGATCTCCCTTCCACAGGAGTGGGGGTGGGAGTTCAAGAAGCACAGCCCAGCGTCTCATTAGCCGTGACCTTCACTCACGTCTGCGGTGCGGTCTGTTTCTCCCGCCTGCATTCTGTGTCAGATTCTGAATCAGAACCATCCGCTGCTGGAGAAACGGTTTTTCCCACCCAGAAGCATCTTTAAAGTGGTGCTTTGTTTCTGAAAGATGTCCCCCACCCCCCTCACATTAAAATGAAAGGGAAGCTGATGTCTATGTCTATTCTGGGAAAATTCTATCAAAGATAAACACTGTCAGTGAGGACCTCTGGGCTCGACAGACAGACCCAGAACACTGAGACTCCTGAGAGCAGGAAACTTCGGCTCAGAAATGGAAATATGGCATCCGGAGTTGAAAAAGAAACAAAGATACCCAGTGAGCTGGCACGTAATACTGATGGGAGCCGCAGGTTGTGAAAACCTGGGCTCCCGCCCCACAGGCAGAGCTAATGGGAAATGAATGCGAATGACTTCACTTCGGGTCTGCCTTTCACAGCTGAAATATGTCCTATTCCCCACAGTGTATTTCTAAGGCAGCACAGTCATTGACGAAACAATAGGCCTTTTCCTAAGATAAGTCAGAAGGCTGGTCTGGCCAAACTTGTGAAACACAGGTTTATGAACAAAACTAACTTTGATTATTTGCAAATGTTAATGAAAACACATTGCACTGAAGAACTGCCTGGTTTTTGTTATGATGTTTTCCCAGCGAACAATTGTAGGTGTTTATCCAGGCTCAGCTGTGCTTTTCACAGGACAATGGGCGGCTCTTTCTCTGAGCCTGGCTGCGCTGTGTGGCTGGTGGCTGCAGCTGGGGTGTGTGTGTGTGTGTGTGTGTGTGTGTGTGTAAGGAAGCGGGGGTGGGGGGGGGGGGGGAAGCACAGACCCCACGCTCTGTGTCTCTGTGTCAGGCACCGTGCAGCCCTTGCTCCCATCTGCTAAGTTCACATCCTTCTCTATAGGTTTGTCAAGTTACAAAGAGTTAAATCTATCAATTATCAAATCTCACAGACCCAGTAAAATACAAGTATAAAATCTGTAGTTGCTGGAAAAAAAAGAAAAGAAAAGAAAAAAAGCCACACAACCAACCAAGCACAGAAAACTTCATGTGTACCTAATTTTAAACAGAACTTAATTAAGATTTACAAAAGTTGTCAGTGTTTCTCCATTTCACAAAAGGATCCTTTTCAATCCTCAAATGGATTTCAGACTGTTTTACTCAATAACTTTTCAAGGAACAGGTTGATGTGAAAAGTCAGATAAACCTTTTTAAGGTAAAAGAAAGTTACAAGAAACGAACTCAGTAGATATGGGAACAGCTGCAAATATGGAGAAACCTATTCACACACAGGCACCTTCTCTTCCTTTCGCTGCTACGTGTCCAAAGTTCGTAAGTGCCCAGATGTGCACTGACATGCCTCTCGTTTATTCTCACTTGCATTCTACATTTAAGATTATTTTTTGAAATACAGGACATTATACAATAAAAAAAGAGTATTTTTTTATAAGTTCCTAAAATTTTTTAAAAATTAAAATCATTATTTTAAATGGATTCACAATAAGAATCCCATAACATTTTCAATTCAATTCAATAAATTCTGGGCCTTATTAGGTACCGTTAACATTCACCAAACCTTTTGTTGGACACCATCAACTCTTAATACTCTTTTAGGTGAATCCAGGTTTTATCTTAGGTTTACTTAAGAGTAACACGGTCCTTGGCAGAAACATGAAATCTGTTTCTTATTCTTCACTTCCATTTTAAGTCACCGACCTGCCTATCTAAGGATTTTATCTCACAGCCTGTCTGGTACATGTTACTTATCCCGATTCTCTGCTGAAATGGACTCCTCACGTGCACTAAATATAATCCCCAAGCCAACAGTTGACATGAATATTCACAGTTGCCTCTTTAATACAACTGTTACCAGTTAGGTTGCCTTCTGTTTGGAAACGTTTATGCTTAACTTCCCTACCACACAGATCTAATGTCCATCCTATTCCAGTGCTTTCACACACACACACACACACTCCAAAACCCTTAAAATTTTTGTCTTCTCAAAATCATGTCTTCCCCAGTCCTTTTCAGTATTTCTGCTATGGTATTATTGGAAAACCTCAAAATTATACCTTGGGGTTTCTGGAGCCTGTGGAGGATTCCTAATTCATATCATCATGCAGAAATTCTCTCTGGAGAAATGTAGTTAATCTGCATGAGAGGGAGGGTATTGAAACTGAACCCTGGCCCTCTACAGCTCTACCCTGAAAGGCACGCAATGACCTGGTACGGAGGCAGGAAGCAAGGTACCCAGAAAACTTTCTGTTCAAACGTAAGGCAGTTTCTGAAAGGACAAAGCATCATTGTTTACATTTTGTGTAACTTGCTGTTCATAAGCAAAGATAAACCCATGGACAATACAAGTGACTTCAGAAAGACTTAAACCTGAAACCCCACACCCCATTCTTGCTCCTATATTTTGTTCAAATTATCATAGAGTGATTTCATTTTAAGATTAACTTCTGCCATTCAGAATACTGAAAATATTTCCATAAGCAATTTAATGACAGTGACCACAATATGTAAAGATTTTGTTCTGATAAAATTACAAATAACCAAAAATTTGAGATTCAAAACCCTGTAATATCTGGAAAATTTTGTTTATAAAGTATAATAATACCATTAAGACTTACTTGTGAAATAAAACATTTCTGAAACATTTAGGAATACATGCTTATTCCACTCTGGATAATTACTAGTACTTTCTGAAATCTGTTGAGAAATACTTTCTGTAAAAAGAGAGAGCTGGTTGTCAAATTCCAGAAGCTGGGTATCAAGATTACATTAAAAAAATCAGTTTTCCAGCTCTGGTTTGATAGAAGTGGGCTTTAAAAAGGATTTTTAAATGCAAATACAGAACTCTTGATGCTTCCTTTATGACACATACTCTGTTGTGATTGTGAAGTATGGTCTTCGATTGTCTTCTCTGAGGTATCTGTAGAGTCAGTCTCATTCTGTAAACAGTGTTTTGGAAACATCTTCATCTAAAAACCAGGGAGAAGTCTCACTTTACCATTCCACAGGAACTAGCACTCTCAGGCTGATGCGAGGCCAGTGCATGGGCGCGGCTGTCAGGAATTCCATTCTCCCATTCACGAGTCATTTATTGCTCTCAAGTCTGTGACTGCAGGGTAGATAAGGCAGTAGTCCCCCAGACATTTTCAAATAGAACTGGCGTTCTGACAGTTTGCACAAGTTCTGTCCATGTCTTGCCTGTAACTCTGAAGCTGAATAGTACATTTATACATGCCAAATGTGTTCAACAACAAATGCCTGGCTTTGGACTGTACCTCCTCCCATTTAGATGAACTTCCAGGAACTGCAATGCCAAGAACATATCATTACTATTCATTGTACATTACACATTAGTGAGTAAGACCCATGGAGAAAACAATCTTAGTATACTCTGAACATGTTTTTACTAGTTCGATTTCTACCCTCCTGAAGCTATTGTTAGAGAAGTGTCAGTTTGCCAAGCCAGATCAGCTTCTCGTTATCCCTACCTATCTCTCAGGTCCACTCTTGAGTAGAGAAAGGGATCTAGACATCAATTACTAGTCTTTCATCTTTTGTACTTTTAAAAATAAAACTCATGTATGTGCTATTTTGATAAAAAAAATCAAATAAAAAGTATCGATCTATCAAATGATTTAAAGAAATAAAAACACAGGTTCTAGCTCTTATGTAGAAAAAGCATGGTAAATACACCTAGTGCATTTAATCTGAAGACAAAAATCTCTGTGTTACATCTCATCTCAAAGGGATAAAAAATTATTGCTCTGCTATAAACGACGACCTGCAACTCATCTTTTGAAAAGCCCACACCTTCCCTTAAAACAAATCTGTCCAGAAGTCTTCCTACTTAATTTAAGCACAGCTGTT